TCTTCCCGCTTGGAAACGCGTCCGGTCGAACAGCGGGGCGCCGGCGGCCCCGCTGGGGTCAGGGAGCCTGGGCACCGCCGGAGCTGGGTCTCTCTTTCAGGAGGACGAGCTGAAGTACACCCTCAGGCGTCTGGTGGATGGACTGGGAGCCACCCGAGAGGCCGCCCGCCCAGGCTTCAGCTTAGCCCTGGCGCAGGTCAGTATTGCCCAGAGCAGAGCGCTCGGCGGCCCCGCACCAACCCCGCTCAGTTCCTGGGGTCCCGCTTTGCAGTGGGTATAAGGATGCTCGAGGGCTCCCACCTAGTAAGGTCTGCATGCAGGTGGCAGAGAAGGCTCTTGCGGCGAGCATGGAAAAACTGCGTGGTTTTAAATGGTCCTAGTCTGTTTCAGAAGCACTTACAAAGGTATAAACTATTCCGATATCGTACTCATGCTACAGAATTCTGTCCTGCTTCAAGAACCATCCTTATTTTGCAAACTCTGACTATGTTTTCAAATATCCTGGGTTAAGAACTATTGTGATTTCTTAAAATTGACTTGCTGCTGGTGTTAGGCTGTTTATGTGGGAGATCTGAAAAGGCAACCCTTTAACACATGCTTCAAAGGGTTTTTTCTCCCTGCTGTTTGAGCCTGTAACGTTGCTAAGAATCCCAGCAATTGGGATCACCAGTGGGATCTGACCTCGTCTCACCTAACAAGTTTATAATGCCTTGCCCATGCCAAAAAGTTTCGTTACTTCTGTTACAGGGTCATGCAGTTGCAGCAAAATGTTCTCAATATTAATCCTGCTAAGTCATGTACAGGAAAAAAAAAAAAGGAATATCAGCAGGTATATTTATGTCTATGCTAGTTCCTATTCTGACACATCTTCTATTGATCTAGTTATTTCTATGCTGGCCTAATAAAGCAGCACATCTGCTGCTATACTGAGCAACCATTCAGCTCTATTTCGGCTGAACTCGATAAAACTTCATAAAATGGAAGAACTGCAGACTGAGCTATTCCATCCATCTTCTCAGGTTTTACAGGCTTTTGAGGAAATTCCAATGTGCAGTGTCCTGGAACAGATAAA